AACCTATACAGAAAATTTTCACAAAATAGACCTCCAAGATACAATACACCTGGCACATCAAAAGATTTCTGCCTTGCTGTCAGATTAAGAAATGTTGACCTTAGATTTAGTTCAGGATTTGAAGTCTTTGATTGTTGATCAAATTCAATTGAGTTTTGGTGGCACACATGAAAACTAACTGCACATGAGATGACCAGGTAAAGTTGATACTTGATAGCCTAAGTGTTTGGGCCAATTATCCATGATAATGTAAAGTGTAGCCGCCCCCTAATCCCAACTTTTGCTAAAACAATAAGTGAACATATTGAATATGCTATAGCTACCAAATTTGTATGCCAAAATTGAAAAAGAAAAAATAATTGCAGTATTGGTCTGTTTTTTTTTTTTTAAACTTGTCCAGGTGGCTACACAGGTTTGAGCCAATTATAATGTCCAGAACTTGAAATGATGTACTTACTTGCATAATGCTTTTGGCTTATTTCTGAAAAAAGTTGGTCCTTGAGATCTGTGAACTTGTTTTCCGTGGTAGAAAAGGCTACTTCTGACCAAGCTTTGGCCATGGCAGACCTTGGGAGCAGAATCCATGGGTTTAGTTGTCATGCACTCATTCTCTATCCATCTAGGGCATTTTGTTAGTAGCCTACCTGCCTGCCCTTTTCCTTAATCCATCAACCCTTTAACATTGTCTAATTTTCTCGGCTTCCACCTGTGGGATCTTCATTTATGTTGTCTACTGCAATCAAACACTAATATTAATAAATGAGATATTTGTAATACTCTATGCCCAACCAGTACTAGTGTTTCAGATAAGAAGCTTATTCAAGATTTATTTGATGCTTGATTTCTCTAATTGTGACCAGGAGCATCATGATCTTTTACTGGCCACCTTCCAGCTGTTGAGCCTACTTTAGAGGTATTAATTGGGAGTGCTACAAATTTTCTAGTTCTAGACAACAATCATGTTGAAATTTGTCTAACTTGGACATGCACACATTAGAGGTTCATGGATGTCCTAAACCAATACGAGGTTGTTTCCGCCCTTTTCTACCGAGCTGACCAACAAAGATCAAACCTTTCTTTGCATGAAACATCTAAGAAGTCAACTGTTGTTGAAGCACTTATGATTCAGAGAAAAACGCGCCTCATTCAAAATACATGCTCAAGCAAAAGCCGTGGCGACCGAGAAAGCACAAGAAGTGGAAATGTAGATGGAGCAACATGGAAGAGTTATTGATACTTTATGTAGTGGTTTAATTCCAGAAATTCAAGCATGCATTGTTAGATGGTGCATGTCCTTAATTCTAATCAAATTGATGTACTGTTACATTTATTGTAAATGAGCACAAATATATAATTGTTTCATTTTATGATTGGTGTGTTTTTGTGTATTTACTCGTTAAAATGGACATTTATGAGACTCATGTTAGTTTAGAATGTTCTTAGCTATTGGATAGACTTGAAGAATTTATCCTGCTAAGGCTGATACTAATGTGCTGCCAAGAAGGTTGGGGCAGTCAGTCTCAACTGTCAGGGTTGGACCCGAAGCACATGTAGTGTGTGTTTGTTTGAAACACTGAACTCGGACCAATTTTCAGTTATGCCCTAGACCTTGGAGATTGATGGGAAATACTGAAAAGTTACACATAACCCCTAGACTCGATTATGGAACTGCATTGTGTAATGAATCAGGTTGTCTTTGATATGCCAATCAGTGAGATCGTTTGGGGGGGCAAAACCTAGTTATGCTGGACAATATGAGAATTCACTCAAGTGAACGATCATAGTGATAGGATCAGCCCCTTTGTCAAACAAAGTGAATGATCGGGACTACACTTTATCAGATGAAAACCAAAACTATCGATAGTTGATTTCAGCTGTGTTTAAGATTTGTTTTGCAAAATATATTTATATGATAATATATACATTATGTTTTAAGAAAAATGTTTGCAATAGGTTTTAATTCGCATGACCCATCTGAGCAAAGAGTGCAACACTGCACCTTACAGTCAGGGGAGAGGTCCTTCCCTGTCAGGTAGTGTTTGATCATTGTGGACTGAGAGGTTAAGTGTAAGAGACCATTAATGGTTGTTTACCTGATGGGCTATATCTTACTTAACTCCATTATCCTTAGGCCTTCATCAGAAGGCTGGACTCAAATATCATTTACCGTAAATGTTGGGCCCATTAGAAGTCTATGCTGATAGATATAGGGGTTCACTATACTTGACAGTGAATTTGGCTAAGCCTTTTTACAAAGGTTGGGCTGAACCCATGTAGGCTTATATAAGGTCATTGTTGGGGTCCCACGCCATACAAATTGAACATAAATGGGCCAACAATTACCTAGGGACATGAACCATTTGCTAAATGGGTTTGAGCATTTAAAGGCTCAAATGCTTATTACCATCTTTGGAAAGCCTTATATCATGTTGGTGAAAATTTAAATCATTTTGAAGAAAAGAAAAATCCTCCCAACGGCTAGAAAATGATCACTTGCTCTTAAATCCTCTACAAATAGATGTATTTAGCTTGATTCAAAGAAAACACGATGAATTGAAAGGAAAAAATTGTGTTATCCCTATACATAGTGTATAGTTGTTTTTTAAAGAGAGCAAGTTAGCAAGAGTTGTTTTTGTTCAAGAGATTCTTGAGCTTGTACAATCTCTCCAATCTATTGTAGATCACTGCATTAGTTTGAACATGTTGAGAAAACTCTTACAACTTAGTTGTTTGAGCTTTATGTTACCATATCTTCATACTTAAAGGTCTCTTGTGTTATAACTTGTATTATGCTATGCTTGTATTAACTTGTGTACAAGTAGGTGTTTAAGTTTGAACACTATTAATGTCTTGTTGGCACCCAAAAACTCAACTACAAGGTAGTGTGGACACCCACATGTCTTGCTAGAAAAGATATTACAAGCACCTGGATGTTTAGCTAGATGTCAACGCTTTATTAACACCCATGAAAGCCTATTTGGCTAGTGAAAATCCTCAACAAGAGTGGCATGAGGTAAAAGATCTAGGCAGGGGCCGATATTGAACCTCTATAATCTTGTGTGTCTTATGTGTATGTGTGTGTGCCTTATTTGCTTTATCCTTCTTTATCATGCTTTAAGTTTCTGCAGTTTATTTACTACTAACTATATAAACATCTCTAGTATTTGCAAAATTGTAGATCATAGGTAATGGATTTTGTGAAATTGTAGATCGTAGATAACAGATTTTGTGAAATCACAAATCACAGGCCATGGACTTTGTGAAATCACAAATCGCAGATTACAAATTTTTTAAAATTGCAAGTCACACATTGGGCTAAATCACAAATCACAAGTTATGCCACTTGCAAAATCGCAAAAATTGCAAGTTGGTACTCGTGATTACAAGTATTATTTATTATTTTAAATATAATATTTTATATATTTCTAGTTTTTATTATATATTTATATATTTTTTATAATATTTTGTAAATATTAAAAACCAAAAAACCGATGAATCGAATCAATCAATTGATTAACCGATCGACTTCAATTCAATTTCGATTACCAATTTTTCATAAACCGAGAACCCTGGTTCAGTTTCAAAAATAGGCATAACCAAACTACGAGCGCCCCTAGTCAATGGGCTGATAATCTGAAACCCAATCAGGTTGAGTATTAGACAAATGGATACCATTGTCTTAGAGGTGCAAGTTGAACCAAATCAGACCAAATTGAAATTAATTCAACCCTTATCCAACCTGAGTTGTTGAACAACCCACCAACCCTAGTTCTTACCAAACCTAATAACTTTGGGTTGGATTGAGCCTATATATCTGGGTTGGGTTCGAGTTGGCCCAATTTCTTCACTTCTTTTCGATAAGCACGTTCTCATTTATTAAGAAAGTTTAGTGTTAAGATTGACTTATTAAGATCAGGCTGGGCTCCTCGGTCAATTGGCTAGGGAATGTTTAAGGTCAATAAAACTAGCCTAGCCAAAAAATTTATGGGCCTGGGCCCAAATTTTTTTCTTCTGTTTATGTGTACTTTTTGTTATTTTACATATGACACAAATAATAGGTATTAAGCTCAGCCTGGGCCTAGGCGGGCCCAGCCAATGATCATTCCTACCATTTGAAGGGCTTTCGAGCTGCGGTTTTTGGCTTTGAGAGGTAAGGCCTACTTAGAAAATATAAAAGAAATGTTTGGTAAAGTAAAAAAAAAAAAAATTGAGGAACGAAATTTAATGTTGAGACCATGGTTTTCATAATCGGACCGGACTGGATGGTTGGATCGAAAAACCGGAAACCGGTCAGGTGACCAGTTTCGGTTTTCCCCAAAACAAGATTTTCTTAAAAAACCGTTGATTTTGGTCAGTAAATCGCTGACCTGAACAGTTAACCGTTCAAACGGTTTTAACCGTTTTTTATTTTTTTATGTTTTATTTTTTTGCCAGTACAGACCAACCGTTCAATTCGAATGGTCAGACCGTTCGACCCAGTAACCGGACCCTTGACTGGTTCGGTCTCTAGGTCGGTTTTAAAAACGATGGTTGATACAGTTATTTATACGTCTCTATGTTCTAGATGAAAACGACCCAAACTGTTTCTGAACTTCCTACAAATGACAAGTTACCATGGGTGCCATAAACGAGTATTTACAATCAATGTTATTTTAGCAAAAAGACAATTAGAACTGAGTGGGATAACATGTCATATAGAAGCTCTAGCTGTTATTCCCAAACAGCTCAAGTTGATGAGCTTCTTCAAAGTAATTGAATTAAGGGCCCATTTGGTAAATTCTTTTGAGAAGATGTTCTGACAGTCAAAAAAAAGCATTGAACTTTTATCTAGGCAACCTGACCGTTTAGTAAATATACATATTCATGAATCTGTTGGAAGACAATATCAGCCTTGGTAAGTGTGGTTATTGCACATAACTGATCTGGGCTACTTAGTCCATGTTTTGATAATTCGAACTTATGGTAAGGTTACAGTCATGACAACCGACACTGTTATTGCATGCTCAAAATCTGGAGTTAGGGAAAAAGCACAATGTAAATACCAAAAAGAAATCTTTGGAAAAATTTGTAACGGTTCATGCTGGCCACTGAACTTATATCCTCTTGAAAGGAGCATAGATGAAGTGGCCGAGTGAGTAACTACTGACTCGATCATCTCACCAAGTCATGTGACATTGTAAAACTCCGAGTCGTGGCAAGGCTATGAACTTATACTGGTTTCAGAAAGTTTAGAATTGAAAAAAAAAAAAAAAAAGATTCGACCAAGTCATCGTTTAATTTAAAAATAACGAACACAGTGACAAGGAGGCGATCGGAGTTCTACTCGTCTTCATCTTTGACTCACTTTCGCTTCCGCTTCTGATTCTTTTGCAAAAGAAACGAGGCGACCTGCAATTGTGTCTCCAGCAACATCTGAGTCATCTCGGCTTCCGATTCAATTAGGCGCCTCTCTTTTTCAACCCGCCAAGCCTCCCTTGCCTTGATCATCTCCATCTCCGCAAGCTCCATCCTCAGTATAGATCCAGTGAACACATGAACGCTCGCAGCCAAGTCGGCCCACCAGTTCGACTCACCGATAGAATCACTACTCTCCGAGTCCGGAATCGCTCGAATAATTGGGTCTTCCTCATGGACATCGACGGTACGGGGGGTGTCGGGAGGATGTGATCCCGATTAGAAGCCGGCGTCAAAGGCGATGACAACGGAAGAATGAAGCAGAGGATTTGTAATCTCCTGCAAAAAAGGGAAAAAAATTTTTAGTGGAAATGTGGTGGATGCGACGACGGAAGAGAGACGAAGCAGAGGATAGCGATGACGGAGCAGGAGGAAGAAGAAGAAGAAGAAGAGTATGAAGGGGAAGGAGGCCGAGGAGGAAGAGGGGGAAGTGGAAGAGAACCTGTGAGACCTAAGAGGTGTCACGTATACGAATTAGAGAGGTTTGGGGGGTTCATCGAGGGTTTACTATTCATAGTTGTGTGCGTGTGAAAGGTCGCACACGTATGGTGAAGCTCCGAGAGGGCAGGGCGTAAAAACCCGGAAGCTACGACGAAATAAGCTCAAATTGGGCTTTTCCAGATTTTTCGGCGCAGGGTTTTCGGCGGCGAGATCTTACGCGAATCAAACGGAAATAGACTGATTTTTTGTCTTTCGGGCTTTTTTAAATAAACGGAAGACAGCGCAGAAAGACTTGACAAACAGACTCTAATTTAAGCAGTTGCATATATTTGAAGTTAAACTCCCACCCCAAACGGTTCCCTAAACCATTTGCAACAGAGATGCTTGAATAGACGACTTTAATTACGCAAAGGCTTAGCAAATTACTGCCCCTCTTATCGTCAAACTTCATGTTCACCCTTTAATTTGACACTTGATATCAGGATTAGCAAGCTACAATTCCTTGTACTTTCTCATTGAGAATGGATTCTCTAGAGAAGCAAAGTAACCTATGACTATTACATATAGTCGCGTTTAGGATCATTTGTTTATCATGAAATCGTAAAAAATTGTGTAACTTGTTGAAACAACAGTAATTAAATAGTCTCTCTCTCTCTCTCGATTTTCAATCTAAACAGAGCCTAGTTAAGTATTGGAATAATCCAAATTAAACTACTTCTCGACAATCCCAATTAAGTTACAAATTCACAAATCTAAACC